AGAAGGGTCCAGGCCCGAAACGTCAGCTTTCCTGCTCCTCTGATGCTGCTTGGCCTGCTTTGTTCATCCAGCTCTACACCTTGTTATCTCAGATTCTCCAGCATCTGCAGTTCCTGCTATCTCTTTAAATTCTTTGTTACTTTTCTTACCCTATATCTCTTCCTTTTGGCCCTGGGATGCAAGCTTTTCTGTCCTTCAATCTGTCCTGTCTTCGAGGCTATTTCAGGCCTTCCTTTGTCCATGTCCTATCACTCCTTACAGTCTTTTTAAAAATTTTTATCCTTTACCAGTTCTGAGGAAAGGTCACAATCCTGAAACTTTATTCCCATTTCTCTCTCTCTCTCTCACTCCACAGATGCTGCCTAACTTCTTGAGTGTATTCCCACATTTCATTGTAAATTTGCAGCCTCCATGGTATTCTGCTTTTCTATCTTTTCTAGTGAATCTCAGAGCAATTTTGAGAAATTCATTGGCTGAGTTGGCTTGTAGGGCAGTAGATTGGCACTTCACTTCACTAAACAAGAAACTGACAGTTCTATTGATGTCTATTGCAAATAAAAACTCTCCAGGTGATCACAGAGATCAGAATTTGAGGAGTAGACACAAGGAACCCTGTATCATACCTTGTTCTGGTTTGGTAGAAAGAGTGAGCAGGTGGGTTTTCCCCAACGTAAAACTATGACAATTCACAACAATTGGGCAACTGGAATGTCAGATATCATATGAAATTGTAAAAATGAATTAGCTACAGAGAATTAAAGTCCATAAAATAGTTGCAAATTCAACACCTCTTGTAAAGAAGTTGAGTTGAATGGTATTTAACAATGCCTAAATACTCTGAAAGTACTTACACTCCCGCAGTTTTGAGGACCACATTGTTTCACCTGAATCTACATCCATTAAGGTTAGTTGAAAATCTCCTGGTTGTTCCAAAAATACTTCAAAATAGCCTTTACATTTAAGAGCGGCTATATCTTCAAATTCAATTTCCTGTTGAAGTTTTTAAAAATATTGAAAATCACCATTTGTTTAATCATAAAGAATTCATGCATTTCTAAGTGAATACTAATGATTTCCATTGCAAAGTCCTCATTTAAGTGAAGCAAATGTTTCCTCACATAATTGTAAACACGTTTGTTATAAACAGGTTTATGATGTTATTGCTGAGACATAAAGAAAATCTTGTCCCAAGGTTTGAAATGTTGGGTCCAGTCCAATATCACTTCTTCAGATATGAGACTTTCTGAACAGTTCCAAAGAGTTATATTGGTTTCAAAACATTAACTCCTTTTTTTCCCTCTCCACAGATACTGCCAGACCTGCTGAGTTTCTCCACCACTTTGTTTCTTTTTCAGATTTCTAGCATCTGCCATATTTTGCTCTTGTTTTAGAAATGTTGGAACTTGTTTGTAATTCCCTTCCAAGTCCTGGACATTTCACCTATATGGGAAGCATAGGGATTATACTTCCAACAAAGGCGCCTGTAAGACTGGTTCCAGGGCTCAGAAAGGCTTCTCATTGATAGGTTGGCTGATGGATGGTGAAAACCAGCTCACTGCAGCAGCATTTAAAAGCTTGAAGTAGCTTAAAGGCGTAGGTATAAACTGATTGGTTTGCGCTGCAGCTAAGAATCTAACTTTGCTCGATATGTTTTTGAAATTAGCTACTGAACAGAAAGTAGATGCACCTGCAGTGTAGTTGGGGAATTTCTTCTGAAGAAGATCAGTCAGACAAGCAAAAGGAACACTAGAATGGAGTGACACAAGGTAAGATTTGGAAAGTTAATAATATAGGACAAGGCAATACTGCAAGATAGCAATTCAGAATAATGATAACCAGAGTGTGATATGGCAGAACATGCTGCACAAACATCAGCACCAGCAAATAAGGTCATACCAGGGAAAAATAATGAAAAGAGAGGATTAAAGTCTCTTATTCTGGATGCATTCAGCATTAATAACAAGATGGATGAATTGATAGTACAAAATAACTGCTGATATAATGGCCTTTACAGAAACATGGGGCAGAACCTTATAGGGGGTCTTATCGATGTGGACAATGGTGAGATAGGTGGCAGAATCAGATATGAAGTCCAGTGAGAACAACCTCAATGGCGAGAGCAACTCACTCCATCTTTTATGCTTTTCACAAGCGGCAAGGTAAGTTGCTCATTAGGCAGCAACAAGTTGGTAAATAAGGGGAATTATTGCCTGTTAAACACTTTGATGACAGTCCAACTCAAATCATTAATATTGAACTTTCTATCTTAACAAACTCCGCAAACAACCTTGTTGCTGGAAAAACTCGATGTGGAAACCAGCGTGATTATCAATTCACCGTTTGCTCCGAACCTCTACATTGTGTTCAATCAAACTGCAGGCCAGGGCATGAACCATGGGCAGCTGCCACATGCACTCCTCGTCTGTGGATACTGGATTCTGACATCTGCCAACACCTCACTGCCATTGTGGCACCTCTCTGATACGCTGACAGGGAACTCCGGGAAGCACAGACTTGTACTGCAGGGTTCACTGTCAACTAGCATTGGAAGACTGCAATAAGGATACTTTCCATGCACAGACAGATACCCAGCTCATGAATTTGGACCAGGCTGTATCTCAGAGCTGCATATTTGCTCTCTTAGTTCTTGCTTCCTTTGCTAAGGAACCCACATGCTCACAGCATCCCTGCCTTGCTTTGCCGTTCTATTCGCAGAGACAACCAGCTACACTTCAGCAGTCCTCAGTCAAGGAGGCACTGTCAGTTAGGGGTCCCAGCACATTAAGTGAAGGGTAGCGTCCCATACCCATCCAGCAAACCTACCGCAGACAGGCATCCGCTCAGGTGAACTCAGTCAGGGGGGTCCATACCTCAGAGGTCTGGGGAGTTGGTGACAGTCAGTGCTGCAGCTCTACAGTAGCCAGTCCAGGGAGTAGACCATAGTCAGTCCATCAGCTCCATGTGCAGAAATCTAATGGGAAGTGGAGTTTACAGGAGAGGGGCAGCAAGGCCAGCTGTTGTAATGGGAATGAGACTTGGCAAGTTAGTCTTCAGATCAGGGGTGGAGGGGGCTGCAGGCTGTGGAGAAGGAGGGTTACAATTGTGAATGGGGGCAACAGTGTCTGCAAGGGGTGGGCATGCAGTATGGCATGGTCATGAACAGGGTAATGTGGGAGTGGGATTCATCCACAGTCAGGAACACTCTAGCTTCCAGACAGTGGACAGGGCATGTGAGTGTGTGGCCTCATGTGGAACTGTTACCTCATTCATACCAGGGGCTGGGTGGGGAAGATAGACAGATACAGGATTATGTGGAAGACTTGGGTGCAGACCTGGGGAGGTTTATCAAATGGGCTACTTGGAAGGGGATCTGGGTGTTCAGGGGCTCACTGACATGTTTAAATGGGGGCTGGAAGTCACTGGCCATGGAGCATTGACTGTCGCCTTTCATCGTACTGCAACCCGGAAGTATGCAGTGGGCAAGAAAATGGCTGTGACAACACTTGGAGAGGGTGGGGTAAGTAACTTGATCTGTGAGGGAGGGAGATGCATCCACCAATTATAGGGCTTTTAGAGGGGAAGAGTATGGCATGTAGATCCGAGTAGTGTACAGGACATAGAGCTGCAGGCTCCCTATTCCTGGTCATCATAATGCATTGACCCATCTGTGAATTGTACCTCCCTGCTACATTCATTCCTGGATAATGATGCATTGACAGCTCACTGATGGCACCAAGGCTGGGAAAGAATAAGAATGTTGCACAAGAATGGCCAAAGGTATCAGCATGACCCGATGCCTTGTCCTTCTTGCTTCTACATGATGAAGCAGGCTCTCAGTACATACCATGGTCTGTGGCCATGAAGTGATGCCAGATAGTGTAACAATGCCTTTTGGACCTCCACAGAAAGACTAAAAACCAAATGTGCAGTTACAGCGCATATATTTGTACAAAACTTAACAATCATTGTCACCCATGTGATCAAAGTGCTCTCAATAAGTTTACACCTTCCCCTCCCTCCCACTATGTATTCGTGTACTCCACTGTTCTGCAGCTGGGCTGGAGGGAGCTTGCTTGGCCGTGGAGACTGTTGGTCCCTGGAAGTTTGGCCAGGTGACCTCCGGGGCGCTTTTGTGCCTGGGCAGCTCAGACATGCTGAGGGTCTTCTTGCTGGTGGTCAAGTGACCGTCAACACGAACTTCCAAAGATCAGAACTTCCAAAGGGACAGGCAGGGGGAGCTGGAGGGTCCAGCCAGCTCGGCACTGTCCTGGGATGACACCTCATAAGGGTTTGGGTGGGGGTCTTCCACCGGCGGAGCATCTCCTGGCACCGCTCCAACTCCTTGTGAAGAAGGAGGGCATACTATGGTCCCCTGTCACCATGCCTTTGGTCCTGAGGACAATGTTGAAATGGAGGTGTCTCTCCAGTGGCCCTTAAGGAGGCCAGGCTTGGCTCACCGTAGTAGCCACCAACCTGTCCAGGGGCAGACAAATGGTCACATGATTTGCTGCATTGCTGCAGCTTCTGAGTAATAAGGCCCACATCTGTGTCTGTTGCTGCAGTACCTCCTTGTGTGTGTGGACAAAGTCCCTGATTGTCTGGGCCTGAGCAGGTCTCTGGCAGTCCTCTGAGTGCCCATGACGTGGGGAGTTTCTGTCTAAGCCAGCTGTGGAGCTATCAAAGTGAGGTGCTCACCAGATTGTGTTCCCAAACTTTCCCCACTAAACTGTCAGTATCTGACCTGGTGGAGAGTGCAGGGACAGCCTTACTCATGCTTCCTTAGAGGTCGAAGAGATGGCTTCTGAGGTCCAGCCTTTTCTCCACACAGGACATGGAGATACCAGCTGTACCTGCAGAATACGAAAAGGAGGAGGCATCACCGCCAGTGGTTAGAATTGCTGTGTGACCGATGATACAGACAGTGGGGTTAATGTGAGAGATGCAGTTGGATTGAAGAATTAGATTAAATCAGTTGGTAGCACATGGATGTCTCTGTGCCCCTGCAGGAGCAGTCCTGGTCTCCCCCTGTGAGAGCCAGCATTCTCTCCTCAATAGGGGGTGAAAACCTGAAGGTGAGGCAGTCCCCACCATATGGCATCACTCTGTCCTGTTCTGGGCTGTGTTCTCTGTAATAAGAGAAAGGAAGCGATTCAGTGAGATGCAAGTGGATGGTCCGGCTCTTAGTGATGGTGCAGGTGGTGGAATGATGGAGAGAAGCATACAGAAGTTATGCAAGGTTAGTGGCGTGGGAGGTTGGAGGATTGGGTAGATGATAGTGTGTGAGGGTAGATGTTGAAGACAATTGTGAGAGTGGCAGAGCGTGAGATTGATGGGGCGTGAGTGCAGTAGCTGAGATGGAGTGAGGTGTGAGGTGGCTGAGAAAAGTGCGTCATGTACCCTGGAGTAGAGAAATCATTGACCCCTGCTGACTGTTCCCCACAGGCTGGAGATGGCTAGCAGGGTCTGGTGGTGAAGACTCCTCTGCCACTTTTCAAATAAGTGGGCTTCTTTCCTTTGCACTACTCCCAGGAGCCTGTCAGAGAATCAGTATCGTCACCCCTTTCTCCACCGTGTTTAACTTGTGTCCGTCAATGAGCAGGATGACTTCAGAATGCTCATCCAGGCCATTTAAAGATGGCATGGATGCAAGAGATGCTCGTGTTTCAGTCGATATCTGCTCAGGTCCCTTTCACTGCTCTCCCCCACCAGACAGAGAGGGTTCAATAGGTTACAGTTGCAGTTACAGGTCATCTCATTGTGGAGTGTCTTGGTAGACATGGCCATCATTTATTTTGTAGAAGTTTAAAATACTTCAGAGGGTGCTCATGAGAACTGGAATGGTCTTGATCCACAATTAGTTTTAAAGATGGTGAGATTTCATCAATAGTATTCTGCAATGGGCAAAACAAGATGCATCCAAACCCTAGCAACATATACTTGTGGAAATGGATAACTGTGTAGAGTGTTTAGATTCAGATCTCCTGAATTGATGCCACAACATGCATATTATTTGTTATTATAAAGGCATTATTCAGTGCCTGTTACAAAATTCAGGCTGAGACATTCTAGACATGAAAGTGTGGGTATGGCTTTACTTTCTGCAATTGCCTATAACTGGAGTCAAATCAAGCAGCCAAGTTAAACTTTAGGTGGAATTCCAGCCCATAAACAGCTGCTGCTCTCATTACTTCCCACCCTTTCCATTTATACATTATTTGCACTTATGGAGGAAGCATGTTCAATTCACAAGTCTTTTTTAATTCTTTTATGACATGTGGGTGTCACTGACCAGGGCAGCATTTGTTGCTGATCGCGAATTACTCTTGAGCTTGCTTGGCCTATTTTGTGGCACATTTTGTGGAACTGGGGTCACATATAGGCTGGACCCAGTAAGGTTGACAGATTTCCTTTCTTAAAGTATATCAGTGTACCAGGTGGGTTTTCGTAACAATTGACAGTGGTTACATGGTCATCAGTTGACTAGCTTATAATTCTATGTTCATTGATTGAATTCAAACTTCACACTCTGTCTTCATAGGATTTAAAATTAAGTTCCCAAAGCACTAACCTGGGTCACTGGCTTAATGATCCAGCCAACAGTCTGGGGACTTTTCACTGTATTGCTGTCAGAACATGGGTAATGCTATCAACATCATACTTATTGCTCATTCTTGATTGAGTTGAGTTGAGTGGTGGTGGTAAGGTGGCAAATTTTTTTTACGATTGAGCAGCTTATTCAATCATTTCAGAAGGTATTAACAGCCCAGTACATGGTAGGGAACTGAGTTACAGGTGGATGAATCTTGATCTGAATGGCAGGTTCTCAGTGACATTTTTTGGTATAACAATTTAGTTGGTATTTTTCCTTTTACACATCTACAGTTTGCCAGATTTTTTGAATATAGTTCCACAAATTGCCATGGTAAAATAAGAACTCACACCATCTCTGTCACTAGTTTACAGTGGTGACCAGTGACACTGCTGCACTGATACACCAAGAGAAACTTTCCTGCTTTAGCCACAAGATGTTTTGCAAGATTGCTGTGGGTTACTCTCCCATTGATTCTTCCTCTCTGCGGAGAACTCTTTCAACAGTTGAGCTCAAACTGTAGGCTTTGCACAGTTACTCTGCAACTCACGGCACACTAATGTACGATACTATTAAACAGATGCTTCCACTTAAGGAAGTGTGAGCCTTTAACAAATCTAATCCTGTCAACCATTCACAACCAAGAGCAGAAATTCGACATAGATTTGCCAGAGATATCACAATCAGTAGACTAGAAGATTCAGCCTGAAATGAATAACAAAGATCCCTCAGAAAAAAGTAGATCACTTTTAAGAAAAATAAAGACTGAAGTAGTAAACAAAGGAGTGTGTTATGTTGGCTGATAAACTACATAGAACGCAATGCAATATAACAGGCCTATAAAATAGGTACGGCTTGAAACAAATATGAATGCATACTTTAATATGGTGCTCACAGAGCTCTCAAATGTGTTTTTGCATACACAAAAAAAAACTGGGCAAAATAATGAAACAAAAGTCCCAGCTAAGTCATAGATTCATACAGCATGGAACAGACCCTTCGGTCCAACCAGGCCATGCCGAACATAATACCAAACTAAACTAGTCCCACCTGCCTGCTTCTGGACCATATCCCTCCAAACATTTCCTATTCATGTACTTATCCAAATGTCTTTTAAATATTGTAATTGTACCCGCATCTACCACTTCCTCAGGAAGTTCATTCCACACGCAAACCATCCAGTGTAAAAAAATTGCCTCTTTCATCTTCAATAAATCTCTCTCCTTTCACCTTAAAAATGTGCCCCCTAGTCTTGAAATATCCCATCCAACAGAAACCATTAACTCTATCTATATGTCATTATTTTATAAACTTCTATAAGGTCACCTCTCAACCTCCTACGCTCCAGTGAAAGAAGTCCCAGCCTTTCTTTATAACTCAAACCTTCCATACCCTGCAACACCCTGGTAAATCTCCTCTGAACCCTCTCCAGCTTGGTGGCCAGAACTGCATGCAGTATTCCAGAACAGGCCTCACCAATTTCCTGTACAACCTCAACATGACTTCCCAAATCCTATATTCAAAGGTCTAAGCAACGAAGGGCAAGCATGCCAAACGCCTTTTTAACTACCCTGTCTATATGTGACACAAATGTCAAAGAATTGTGCACCTCTGTTCTACAACACTACCCAACCCCCTACCATTAACTGTATAAGTCCTACCCTTGTTAATACAACCCAAGTACACCATCTGTGTAAAGAGATACAAAACTACACAATATTGTTGATGTGAAACAAGGGAGATTACAGATCAAAGAATAAAAACAAACATCCTAACCTTTCAGGAACAGAGGTATATAATGTGAAAACAATCTCAACAAATACCCAGGAATGTTGTCACGTGAATGGGTGAACTAAAAGAGTTGTAAATGTAAAATCAAACTCAATACCTGCTTTGATGGCCCAAGGGAGAGAGCCGCAAGTTTGCATTCTTAGGGGTAAATGGGCTGGTTTTGTTGTTCAGGTGCAAAATTATTACCAGTAATGTTAATAGATGAATGTTCTGAGACATTTTTCTGTTTTAGCCTAAGTATTAATGCGTTCAAAATAAAGTAAAACAATAATTGAGGTAATATTGGACATAGGGTGCAAAACAAGTAGCATCGGTTTTGCCCTCTGTTGGTTAGCTCAGTTGGCTGGACAGCTGGTTTCAAAGGTAGAGCAATGACAACAGTGTGGGTTCAATTCCTGCATCAGCTGAGCTTACCATGAAGTACTGAACATCTCCCTTTGCCTGAGGCATGGTGACCGTCAGGTTAAACTACCACCAATTGTTTCTTTCTAATGAGAGGGCAGTCCTATGGTCTGCTAAGACTATGCTCACTTTAACAGTGCACACAATATTCAATTCTATTGAATAATTCAGGTGGGGTATTTAGCAGCCAGCTGTTTCACCATTCCACCCAAGTCCAAATTCAGCCCCATTTTAGCTAGGAACACAGAGAAAATAATGTTATACAAATATGTTAAACAATTGTCTTCCAAGATCAGCAACAGTCATTCCAGTGTTTAGTAACCCAAGTTTTTGTTTAACAAGTACAAAGTATTGGAGGGAGCAAAATTAAATTCATTCAAAATGTCCCTAGGTACAAAGTTAAATTTGCCTCCCTACAGCGTGCCCATTCTAAAGAATTTCTATTACCTCTCTTGTTGCTAGCAGTGGTGAAGCAGATTGAAGGGACGCAAAGATATTTCCTTTTTAGCTTTTTATATTTTCTAGCTCAAGCAGTGGAAAAGAAAAACATTCCCACAATGCTTAAGGAAAAATAAATGAAATTTCTAGCGTGTAGAAACCAGATGAAGGGAAGTTGGAATTGGTAAATTAAACTGATAATCATTTACAGCACTGGACTTGAGTATTTCGTCAAAGCATTTTCCATCTCGCACTTATCAGGGCACTTCACAAGAATAAATATAAATGTATTTTTCCTTGAATTTGTATTCTTGCAAAATGTCCTGATGAGTGTAAGACAAAAAACTTTGACAAAATGTGTCTTTTTCAGCAATACTTACATTTACTAAATTAGTGCAAAAACTATCCACCAAGGAAGAAAGACAAATGTTCAAAGACACTTAATACAAAATTGAACAAAAATATTCAAGTTAACACTTTCAACAAATCCTAGAACACCTGACCTTATTCTTAAAATGTTAGTTTATTTTCCAAATAATACCTAATTATAGAGAAAAGTGATGTTTATAACCTGCAAAAGTTACCAAAAACTGAAATGTTTGATGTACATAATGCTGATGGATTATCTCCAAGCAGCTTTGCCTCAATGGTAGCACTATCATTTCTGAGTCAAATGGTTTTGGCTCTCGGACCTGAGTACTCTGGGTTAGCAGTCCAGCTCAATACTCATGAAGTGCTGTACTCTTAAAGAGTACAAGTGTCCTCTTTGTCCCCTCCAAAGATCCCAAGGCACTATTCACAGAAGAGCAAGACTGTTCTCTTATTACAATATAACAAAGAACTGTGGATGCTGGAGATCTAAAACGAACAAAAACAGAAATTGTTGAACAAATGCAGCAGGTCTGGCAGCATTTGTGGAGAGAAAACAGTTATCGTTTCAAGTCCAGTGGTCCTTCTTCAGAACTAATTGCTGTCAGTGAACTCGAAACACTGACTCTGTTTTTTCTCCACTGATGCTGCCAGACCTGCTGAGCTTCTCAAGCTATTTCTGTTTTTGTTTGCTTCAGTTCTCTTATCATCCTGGCCGCTATTACCCTTCAACCAGCAATACTGAAATAGCTTATTTGATCAATTATCTCACTGCTGTTTTCAAAATAGCTACTTTACAAAGGTGACCACAGTTCAAAAGTAATAAATTTCCTAGCTTTAGGATTTCTGAAGTCAGGAAAGACACTTTTCTTCCAATCCCCTCTGTCTCTTCTGACGAAACCGATAGCACTTTTCCAAAACTGCACAACTTTCAATGAACAAATTGGTATATTGTAATCACAGCAAATATATGACCAGAGCCCAAAATCAGATTTTTAGATTCACACTTCAGGTCCCAGCATTTTCAGTAGACTCGAAGATTCAACTGGAACTTATCCTGATGTCGAAGGATTTTAGAACAATGGAAAGTGATAACAATACTCATATTATTTTAGATCCTAACTCTGAAAATGTCATCACTTTTCAATTTATTTTGAAGTTTTTATTTATATATGTATAACATAACAAAAACAAAGAACTAAGGATGATAAAAATCAGAAACAAAATTAGAAACTGCTGGAAAAACTCAGCAGGTCAGGCAACATCTATGGAGAGAAATCAGAGTTAACATTTTGGATCCAGTGACCCTTCTTCAGAACGATTTATGAATAACATATATAGAAAACTTTGCATGTAAGCAGCAGAAATATAGCAGTAATTATTTACTACACATACCCCAGGTGTTATTTCAGCTTGTGGGTCACTCAGGAGTCGATATGTTTTGCCAGTAATTAGCTTTTTATTGCATTGAGGAGGTTTATCAATTTTTATAGATTTATGTTTTGAATATTTTTCAGCCTTTCCGATATCCTAAAAGCGAACAAGCATAATCATCAGGAAATTAGTTTTTTAAATTAGCACTTTTAAGTACACTGACAATTCACTGAAAAATCTATTCAGAAATAAATAATAATTTAACTAATGGCAAAACTATACCAAAAAAGCTCTACTTATACTCTCAACAAAGATAGACATAACAGTTCATACCTTAATAACAGAGTGATTGTTTGTTGCCATGTACACGTGAAATAATAAAGACTGGTAGCTGTTAATAATTTTGTAAATCAGCACAACACCATGATGTTGAATGTTTTCAGAACTAGTATTACAGATTGGTCCAACTGGTGATAAGGAGCTCACATTCCAATGAACGTGTGTTGTTGAATGGTCAACAGCTGGCTCTATTATGGGTTTCTTGTCCTTTATGTGTAAAATTCCAAATTTTATATCAGCTGAATGGTCTGCAGGATGAGATACACATTTGTAAACGTAAAACAATGGCTGAAGACATTTTCCAAATCATTCTGTGAATACAGTATGGAATTTGGCCCATAAAATACTACTCCATACCAGCTCCTAGTGACATTTATGAGTAACCAAGATAGGATACTTGCCAGAAATATGGGTTGAAAATTGGAGGGTGTGGTGATCAAACAAATGCTAATGTCTCTGACAGCATTAGAGCTTAAAGAGACATTAGAAACCAGACTTTGGCTTGCTCCAATCAGACAGCAGAACAGGGAATATAAAGGAAAGAGAAAAGAAATTATCTTTTCGTTGAGTGAGGAAAGAAAAATAAAGTTGTTTTAAACTTCTCCCATTTTTAGAATCCTAACTGGCAATAACAAGGGAAACAAGTAAAATGAAATTTAATTCTGAAAAGTGTGAGGTGATACATTTTGAGTAGGTCAAACCAGGGCAGAACTTACACAGTCAATGGTAGGGCCTGGTAAGTGTTATGGAACGAGGAGATGTATGGGTACAAGTTCACAGCACCTTGAAAGTGGAGTCACAGGAAGACAGAGTGATGAAGAAGGCTTTCAGCATGCTTACTTTCATCGGTCAGAGCACTGAGTATAGGAGTTGGGACGCCTAGTTGCAGCTATACATGACATTGGTAAGGCCACATTTGGAGTACTGCACGCAGTTCTGGTAGCCCTACTACAGGAAGGATATTATTAAACTAGAAAGACTGCAGAAAAAAATACTAGGATGCTACCCGAACTGGAAGGTTTGAGTCATACGGAAAAGTTGGGTAGGCTTATTCCCTGGAATGTAGGAGACTGAGGGATGACCTTATAGAGGTCTTTCAAATCATCAAAGGCATTGATAAGGTAGATAGCCAACAGCTTTTCCCCAAGGTAGGGGAGTCTAAAAATAGATGGCATAGGTTTAAGGTGAGAGAGGAGAGATAGAAAAGGGTTGAGAGGGGTAATTTTTTTCACACAGAGGATGGTGAGTGTCTGGAATGGGCTGCCAGAAGTAGTGATGGAGGTGAGTACAATTCTGCCATTTAAGAAACATTTGGACAGGTACATGGATGGGATAGGTATGAAAGGATATGGACAAAACATAGGCAAATGGGACTAGTTCAACTGTGAAAGCTGGGCAACATGGACAAGTTGGATCAAAGGACCTGTTTCCATACTGTAAACATCCATGATTCCATGACTAACAAGGCACAGAGTCACAACAAATGGTAGGAAGTACAGCAAATGAGAGGGACCTTGGTATTTATGTCCACAGATCTTTGAAGGCAATGGGACGGGTAGATAGGTGATTAAAAAGGCATAAGAGACACTTGTCTTTATTTGTCAAAGCACTGAATATAAGAGGAGGGAAGTTATGATGGAGCTGTACAAGATATACGAATATGGGAACAGGACTAGGCCATTTAGCCCCTTCAGCCTGTTCTGCCATTCAATGAGATCATAACAGATCTGTGGCCCAACTTCATAGCCTTTGGCCCAGACACGTAACATTTTTGCTTAATAAAAATGTGTCTATCTTAGATTCAAAATTAACAACTGATCTAGCATCAACTGCCATTTGTGGAAGACAGTTCCAAATCTCTACCACCCTTTGTGTACTGAAGTGCTTCCTAATTTCTCTCTTGTTCTGGCCCCAATTTTCAGACTGTGCCCCCTTATTCTAGATTCTCCAATCAGTGGAAATCGTTTATCTTTATCTACCTTAGCTTTTCCTGTTATTATCTTGAAGTCTTCAATCAGATCACCTTTTAACATTCTATGTTCTAGAGAAACCAGGTCTAATTTGTGTAATCTCTCCTCATAACTTAATCCCTGAAGTACAGGTATCATTCTTGTAAACCAAGTTGTACTCCCTTCAAGGCCAATATATCCTTCCTAAGGTGTGGTACCCAGATCTGTTCACAAACACCAAGTGGATGTCTAACCAGTGTTTTGTATAGCTGCAGCATAACTTCTGCCTCCTTGTACTCCAGTCTACTAGATATAAAGGCCAGCATTCCATTAGGTTTCTTCATTATGTTCTTCACCTGTTTATGACATTTTAAAGGTCTGAGCACCTGAACCTTCAAATCCCTTTGATCATCCACTGTATTTTAACTTCATACCATCTAGAAAGTACCCTGATCCTTGTTTTTGGTCCAAAACCTCACATTTGCTTTCAGTGAAATCCATCTGCCACAGTTTTTTTTTCCCATTCACCTCGTCCATCAATATCTTTCTGGAATTTATGCTATCATCCATACTGTCTAAAATGCTGCCTAACCTTGTGTCATTAGATATTAGTTAGGCCATAGACTGTGCAGTTCTGGACATCACACTATAGGATGCATGTGATTGCACTACAGAGGAGATTCACCAGGATCCGGGCTGGAGTGATTCAGCTTTGAAGGGAGGCTAGATAGGCTGGGGTTGTTTTCCTTAGAGCAGAGAAAGCAGAAAGGGGATTCTGACTGTGGTATCCCAAATTATGAGGAGCATAGACAGGGTAGATATGAAGGCATGTGTTCACTTAGTAGTAGGATTAATAACCAGGGGCCACAGTTTTAAGGTAAGGAGTAGGAGGCTTAGGGGGATTTAAGGAAGTTTTTTCTCAAGAGGGTGGTGAGTAACTGGAACTCACTCTCTGAAAGGGCAGTAGAGACAGAACCCATCACAACATTTAAGAAGTATTTAGATGGTCTTGAAACACCTTAGCTATAGAAGGCTATGGGCCAAGTGATGGAAATGGGACCACAGTAGATAGATGCCTACTGACTGACATGAGCCTAAGGTCCTGTTTCTGTGCTGTAAAACTCTATAATTCTAGTGAGTGCAATAAACACACATTCCCATGGCTTATCTAAAGAACATCAATGTTGCAAAATGAATTTAATTTGCCATCTAGTGGAATATGGTACAATGAACAAAAAAGGACGATGGTTCAAAGGAGAAGAAAATGATAAAATTAAAACTAGGAACAAAAGAAAATCCCTTACCTGCCAAACAGAGGGAATGAGGGAAGTAAATGCTCTTTAGCATGGCTGAATCATTTTTCACCTCAAGTACGGCTGGATCATTTTCCACCTCAAGTATGGCTGGATCAGTTTTCACCTCAAACAGTGGGCCACAAAGCTTCCATTTTTCATCCAGAAATGTATCATACTTATACCAAGACAGAATTGAGTAAACTATTTCAACTTTTCCAGTCACTTCAAATATGAGACCAGTAGCGACACACTGATAGCTTCCTTCCTGATCCAACTTCAAACTGTGTATTAAAGGGATAAAACAAAAAGTATCAATTAATATTGATCAAGGCAGATACTGCTAATTATATTTCCAAAGTATTGGAAAAGTACCTACTAAAAACGGTCTTTTGAGATCTGCCTAGGTGGTACTTGTTCAAAACTTTGATTCTGTATTTTGAGAAGAAAAATCTTAGTGAAATTGACTAAAACATTTCAGATTCCTGTCTGTACATTTATATCACAATGTTCTTTATTTCTCTTTTGTTCTTGCTTGCTAAATCACTTGAAATATTTCTATAAAAGAAATTATAAAAAAAGGTTTCTCACCGTTTGACAGTTACAGCTGGGACACGATGTGTTGATGTATAAATCTGTGAGAGAAATATTTGTTTTTTTTTTAAGAAAATCAATGTGATAGTTTATACAAGGGTGAACAGAACGATTGTAGTAAAGTGCTAAGTTAATGACTAAGCCACTACTTTTCTTTTATATTACCATGAAAATGTCTCAGATTGAAGAGTATTGGCCAATCTAATCTCCCTTTACAAGTCTCTCACCAGGTACTTTACTGTGATTCCAGTACTAACAGCCTTGTTCCTTAATAGAAGTTCACCTACTTCATTATTAAGACCTTCTAACTAAAGAAGAGCTGTCTAAAGTTCGGAAGAAGGGTCACTGGATCCAAAATGTTAACTCTGCTTTCTCTCCACAGATCCTGCCAGATCTGCTGAGCTTTTCCAGCAATTTCTGTTTTAGTTTCTGATTTCCAATATCTGCAATTCTTTGGTTTTGTCTAAATTTCTTGTTTTCCCTCGAAAAGCTTAACTTTAAACTGTGTTACCTCGTCTGAAAATCCTGCACCCAACAAAACATGTTCCGAGATCCAACCTTTGGAACCCCATGAGAGCCTTAAAAGACTTCTTTCAAGAACCTTTTCATATTCGGTGTGAATAGTTAGAATGGGATTGTGGATATCAGTATAACATACTGACAGTTTTACAATTCAATGGACATCTCAGGGCTGAAAATGTAATTGATCATATAGTCCTGCGCACAAATGGGTTAATCTTGTGAGACAGCGTGCAGTGTGGCCATTTACATAATTTAATGGCATGACTGACATAGCTGGCACAAGCATCAGACCTTTATTGTCAAGAACCAGCAGCCTGTGCCAGCATCTTGAGTGCTTAGGTATTGCATTGCTCAGGGATAGAGGTACTTGGTAGAGGAACATGGTGGAGATATAATGTGACTACTGTTGCCAGGAGTGATAAGTGCTAAAGGATGAACACTTTTAAAAAATATTTCTAAAGGTTCCCCTTTGCCATCTCCTTAAGTACGTGATGTATAACAGAACCATTAATCAGGTGCTCTTGTTTCTGGGCCAAATCTTTTCCTCATGAAGCTAGTTACTCCTTCCTGTTGAGCATCTACTGCTGCAAAACAGGCCAAAAGCCAAGTTTTTAAAACCAGAGCTGTCAGGGGAGTTTATGTGAAAAATCAAGTCAAATTAAAATCGAACACCAAACAAAAAATAACAGCTGTCAAAAGATGCAAGACAAGCTTCTCAATGAAATTGTACCATTGAGTGCAATTTAGAACTCTGGCATCTTTTTAAAACATGAGCTCTTTTATCCATTCCTGTAACAGCAGCACCTCCTTCTTTACATTCAGCTGCTTATTCACTTCTTCAAATTAAATTACTGTAAAGTCATCACGCTGTTATTTTTAGGATGCACACAGAAACCTGCAAGCCAATGAAAGCTGTTACAACGTAAAAAGCTGACAAAGAACTGGATGGTGGAAATCAGAAACAAAAACAGAAATTGCTGGAAAAACTCAACAGGACTGGCAGCATCTGTGGACAGAAAGCAGAGTTAACATTTTGGGTCAGGTGATCCTTCTTCAGAGCTCACAAAAGAAAACTGTTATCGAACTATGTTAACGATGCCAGACATGTTTATTAAATATGCAGCAGCAATATCCACATAGGCTCAGGTCCTAAAGTCCTAGAACATAATCATAATATACACACAGAATAGCAAAGAAGGAGGTTTTCTACTATAAATATTGATCCAAACCTGGGGCTATTTGAACAATAGGCTTAACAGCTGGTAAACTGCAGATAGCTTGGTGCACAGTGGCTCAGTGGTTTGTACTGCTGCCTCACACCACCTGGGACCCAGGTTCAATCCCAGCCTTGGGTGACTGTGTGCAGTTTGCACATTCTCCACATGTCTGTGCAGGTTTCCTCCCACAGTCCAAAGATGTGTGGGTTAGGTAGATTGGCCATGCTAAATTCACCGTAGTGTCTAGGGTGGGAAATGCAGGGGGTGGGTCTAGGTGGGATACTCCCCAGAGGGTTGGTGTGGACTTGATGGCCAAATGGCCTGCTTCCACACTGAAGGGATTCTATGGTTTGCCTATGTCAGATATTAGATTTTAATCAATGTTAGATTGATATATCATCCTATCAACTGCCGCTGCCAGATCAACTGAATATTCCCACAGTTGAATAGACTAATGGTACTCAATATCCAAGCTTAACCACAGAAATGAGCATTTAGGATACAGATGAGGAAATGTGAAATTGTACCTAATCACTTTGCACAATGCTCAAGAAGAAACAAAAGTATTGATCATCTTCAAAAGCATCTATTTCAATGCTCTTCTTGTCATCTTCAAAAGAGATAAGGGGGAAAACTGGATGGGAAACAAACTGAATCTGTCAAACCCATGTCATTTATTTGAATTAAATCTGTGCCAAAAGGTGAAAGGGCAGTGTTCTAACACAATGCACAATCCAGACTTTATTATTACAAAGTAGAGCTGGAAAAACGGCAATGTTCCAAATAATCTGATAAGACTGCTTACTTAGTTACACCCATTGTCAATACCCTTTGTGTAAGAAACCATAGTACAACATAGCCAAACGTAAGCAGAGTAGTGCTCTCAAACTTCACTACCTCCACACTCCTACCCTCACAACCACACACAGGTTTCACTGTGGAAAACAATGAAAACACTTCAAGGAAAAGAAAATCATAACCATCATTTTTAAACATTTAATTTATAAAACATCAATACAAAACAGATACAAAGTGAAGTATTTTCAAATTTAAATAACATAATTGTTCAAAATATTTTCTCTATTAACATTAAATATGTGACAATAATTATGTAAATTAGAAATATATAACTAAACGATCACTTACAATGTTATATTTCTGATCCTCATAAGCCCCAATTAAAACAAGAAAGTTCTCTGAAGAGAATTTTAAAGATGTTTTAGTCACTATAATTGTTAATTAATGTGAAAATAAAGAGACCTGTGTCTGGTTGATTAGTTGTTGTTTCTTCAGTTCTGCAGTTTTCTGGAAAATATATTGCAGCTTTTAATATTTTTTTCCTTGTGTAAGAGTAAGAATAAAATTAACAGCATAAAATTTCCAATTTGTATCTCCTGATACTTGCAATTAATTCCAGGATTGATAATTACAGAGCTCAATTCTCTCCATTGTGTTCCAGCGTTATCTCAACAATCACTCCCACTACATCAGTAATATCTGGGTGACCACACAAGAGATATTAGGCTAAGCCCTGTTGATCCTTTAACGTAACTTCTTTAAATTATGTAGTGCTGAGAAAGTTGATTCAAGTCTTTCTGCAACAGTGTCATTTACACTCTATCAATGCCCATTTGCTGTAGTGCTGCTGGCTTATTGACAATCCAGAGGAAAGACTAGACAGTTCAAGTACACTATGGTGAATTATTAATCTACTTCGTTCTCTGTGTGAGTGACATTAATGTGTTTTCCCACTGTTCTTTCCCCTCGTGCTGATGCATTTGTGTGTGAATTCTTAATGCTACGCTGATTCTCTCTGGGAACAAAGTAAGTGTGCTGGCTGCTGTATGTTTCAGCAGGGTTCAAGTGACCCTGTAGTTCCTTATGTTGACTCCTGAGAAGGTCATCTTGTGTATTGAAAACTCTAATAGCAACAATCTGAGCATTCCAGGTGGATTTAGGATCCTTTACTGATAATTCTAGGGTTACTGTATGCTCTATGATAGTGCACAATAGATCATAGAAGGAAGGAAGCCATTTAGTCCATCATGCCTGTTCCTTGGTGAAGCTCTCAAATTATGCCATTCCCCTGCCGTTCCCCTGTTGCCCTGTATTACTTCCCTTCAAGTACTTATTCCAATCTCTTTTAAATTCTACTGTTGAATCTGCTTCCCTCGTCTTTTCAGGTACTGCATTCCAGATCACAACAACTCACTGCATTAAAAACTCTTTCCTTGTGTTGTTTCTGATTGTTTTGCAAATCACTGTAAATCTGTGCTGGCTCATTATTAGCCCTTCCTCCAGTGGAAAAAAAAAGTCTCTCTTTATTTATTCTATAAATTTATTTGTGATTTTGAACATTTATATTAAATCTGTTATTTCATTAATCAACTGGATCCAGTTAAGCAAACACAATTTGCCTTTAACAAATCAAACCTGACATTCATTTTTTAGCCTGTACTTTCACACATGGCAATTAATTTGTTCTGGATTATTACTTAATGCTTTATCACCATCAGCGTTTAACTTGCTAATTTTTGTTGCCAAGATTGTCCCTCTCCACTTTTGTAAACAGGGCTGGAATATTTCTAATCCTCAAGCTCCTGGCACCACTTGCATATCTTAGGAGGATTGCAAGACTGTGGACACAGCCTGCAATTTCCACCCTTACTTCCCTGTGTAACCTTATATGACAGTCCACAAGGTGACTTCTCTACTTTGAGGACTAATACATTTTAAATACTAAAACAGATCCTATCCAATATCATTAGCACTCCCTTCTTCATTGCTATGTTACAGCATCCTCTTCTCCAGCGTCACTGGACTAAAGTCACTGAAAGTAAGTACACAGGTGCAGTAAGGAAGGCATACTGTATGTTTGACTTTCATAGCGAGAGGATTAGAGTACAGGAATAAGGATGTCTTGCTGCAAGCATACAAGGCATTGGTGAGGCCACACGTAGAATATTCTGCGCGGTTTTGGTCTCTTTATCCAAGGAAGGATTTCTTACTGCAGTGGCAGTGCAGTGAAGGATAATCAAATTGATTCCCAGGATGGCAGGACTGATGTGTGAGAGAGATTGAGTCAGTTAGGATTATATTCACTGGAGTTTGGAAGAAGGGAGGGTGGGGGGAATCTAATGGAAACCTATAAAATTCTAACAGGTCTAGATATGGTACATGCAGGAAGAGTGTTACCGATGGTAGGGGAGTTCAGAACCAGGAGTCATAGTTTATGGATAAGCGGTACACCTTTTAGGACTGAAATGAGGAGAAATTTCTTCACCCAGACAGTGGAGCGCCTGTGGAATTCACTACCACAGAAAGTGGTCGAGGTCAAAAAAAATTATGTGTTTTCAAGAAGGAGGTAGATATACCGCTTGCGGCTAAAGGGATCAAGGAATATAGGGAGAGGGTGACATTTGGGCATTGAACTCAATGATCATCCAGGAAAATATTGAATGGCAGAACAGGACAGGTTCGAGAGTTTGAATGATCTACTCCTGCTCCTATCTTCTATGTTTCTATGTATATTTAGTACTTCAGCCATGCCCTGTGTCTAAATATCTCCTTTGTGCTCTATAACTGCCCCTACTATTCATTTGTTAATCTTTTTACAATTTATGAATTTGTAAAAGACTTTCTGATTCCCTTTTACATTAGCCATTAATTTATTTCTGTAATCTTCTTCAATCTCTTCTGTTAGATCTCCTTTACTTTTTATATTGATTTGGGCTCTCTACTTCCTTGGGAATCTTATATTTTGTCACAAGCCTCATTTTATTCTCTTTTTAAGCTCTGTATCTTCAGCTATCCAGAGAGCTCCAGTTGTGGATGTCCTTCCATTCCCCCCTCATGTGAATGCATCTGCTCTGTCACTGAATTATCCCTGCTTGAAGGTTTCTCATTGCTCAAGTTCACGCAAGTGCACTCCGACACACTAATAGCAAGGTGATAGCTAACATTTGGATAAACTCATGAAATTCTACAAAAGTGCCATGAAGTCTTAATTCCTTGGAATACCAATTCCATTTGGTACTTTCTGAAGTTCATTTACCACGTATTCTGAAGTATGTGTAATCTACAGATGTCCTAAGTTCAACGGGAAAATTCTGGACGTAGAATCATAGATCATAGAATCCCTACAGTGTGGAAACAGGCCCTTTGGCCCAACAAGTCTACACTGACACTCAGAGCATCCCACCCAGACCCATTCCCCTATAACCCACCTAATCTACACATCCCTGAACACTATGGGCAATTTAGCATGGCCAATCCATCTAGTCTGCACATCTTTGGACTGCTTCATGCATCTCATCCTGAGTTAATAAAATAATGCGTATCATGTTAGATTTGTGTCTAAGAATGTTCTTTCTGAAACCCACTTTTTACATTTAATCCACTGAGAAATAATCTAAAAGCAATTCCCTAAACTTGTAACTATGTGGCAGTAAAAATAAATTAACCGTACAACATTAATGTCCCTGACATACAAGAACTTGTCATGCCTCCTTAAAACAAGCAAACTGAACACACATCCTGAGCAAGGCTGAAGCCAAGATTTAGAATTATGTTAAGTATTTGACAGGGTCCTCAAGCAGAAAGTCTGTTCAGGACTTAAACAGCAAGTGACGAGAAAGTGAATGAGTTGAGCAGCTTATGATTTCCCAGCTTCCTCATGCACAATTTAATGCATCAAAGATACTTGCTCTAACATGGACTTGGTGCATTCAAAGGAAAGGAAAATGTAGCTAAAAATTGATGTGAATAAGGTTGTTTAGCTTATGAGCAGCTTATCATAATTGTCAAATACTTCTGCTATTAAACAACAAAGTGCTGGCTAAATCTAAAAAGTACACAAGCAGACGCATAGTTAATAAAAGCTATAATTTCATGAAATTCAAAATTTAATTTGAATTAATTTTAACAACAGTGGATTTTACTGATGTGTATAGTGCTTTGTACGCTTCATTGTAGCTAAGTCAAATTTGCAATTACCTGATGTCAGTCTTAGCAGAGATGGGTCTTCTGCAGCTTGTTCTGTGGTTGAAACATTTGTAAAAAGGTTGATTTCGGTAACGTTCATTAAATTGAACACCATAAGACAGTACAACTAGGATGAACATTTAATAATTCCTGGCATTCAAAATTAGCATGTGCCTTGTTTAATCAATATACAAATTGTTCTCTATAAGGGCAGTTCTATCTGTTAAATGTTACATATTTTAATGACAGTTCTCAAGCATTTGTGTTTATTAGTGTGTAATTTACTTCTGTATTTCAAGCTGATTTCTTTTTATTCTTCACTAATGGGACGTTGGTTTGCTGGCAAAGATAGTACTTACCACCCAATGCTAATTATTCTTGAGAAGATAGTGGCAAACTGCTGTTTTGAATATAATGGAAATATAATGGCTTGCTAGTCCATTTCAGAAGGCAGTTAAAAGTCAACCATTTTACTGTGGAGTCATATTTAGGCCAGATTATGTTAGGACAGCAGATTTCTTTCCCTTGTCGACATTAGTGAGTGAGTTGTGTTTTCTTTCAAAAATCCAATAGTTTATGGTCGCCACTAATGATGCTAGATTTTTATTCCAGATTTATTTAATTGAAATTATAATTCAATAGAGATAAAAATACTGAAGTTATTTTTAAAATGTGTGTGTAATGCCAACAGCAGCTTTGCAGTTGAATCTCTGCAGCAGCTTTTCCCCTTGTCTCTGTGAAGTCAATGAACAGTCCTCAGACAAGTCAAAGAAACAGCAACCACAGTATTTAGATAACAAGATGCAGAACTGGATGAACACAGCAGGCCAGGCAGCATCAGAGGAGCAGGAAAGCTGACGTTTCGGATGTGGACCCTCCTTCAGATATGAGGGAGGGGAAGGTGGCTCTGAAATAAGTAGAGACAGGGAGAGGCAATGATGGAAGGTGGATAGAGGAGCAGATAGGTGGAGAGAAGACGGACAGGTCAAGGAGGCGGGGATGGAGCCAGTAAGGGTGAGTGTAGGTAGGGAGTTGGGATGGGGGTTGGTCAGTTGGAAGTGAAGGGGACGCGATGATGGAAGGTGGATAGAGGAGCAGATAGGTGGGAGGGAAGATGGACAGGTCAAGGAGGCGGGGATGGGGCTAGTAGGTAGGAAGTGGGGTTGGGGGTTGGTCAGTGAGGTGGGAGGAGCGGATAGGTGGGAGAAAAGACGGACAGGTCAAGGAGGCGGGGATGTGAGGAGGGGGCTGGTCTTGGGATGAGGTCGGGGGTGGGGAGAGTTTGAAACTTGTGAAGTCCACATTGAGGCCATTGGGTTTTAGGGTTCCCAAGTGAAATATGAAGTGTTGTTCCTCCAGCCGTTGGGTGGCATCGTTGTGGCAGTGGAGGAGGCCTGGGACGGACATGTCGTCCAAGGAGTGGGCGGGGGAGTTGAAGTGGCTCGCAACTGGGAGGTGTAGTCGTTTGTCACGAACAGAGCGTAGGTGTTCCACAAAGTGGTCTCCAAGCCTCCGCTTGGTTTCCCCGATGAGAAACGACTACACCTCCCAGTCGCAAACCACTTCAACTCCCCCTCCTGCGCCTTGGACGATGTGTCCATCCTAGGCCTCCTCCAGTGCCACAACGATGCCACCCGAAGGGCTGGAGGAATAACACCTCATATTTCGCTTGAGAACCCTGCAGCCCAGTGGTCTCAATGTGGACTTCACAGGCTTCAAAATCTTCCCACCTCCGACCTCATCCCAAGATCAGCCCAGCTCGTCCCCGCCTCCTTGACCTGTCCGTCTTTTCTCCCACCTATCCGCTCCTCCCACCTCACTGACCAACCCCCACTCCCACTTCCTACCTACTAGCCTCATCCCTGCCTCCTTGACCTGCCCATCTTCCCTCCCACCTACCCACCCCTCCCTCCCAACTGACCAACCCCCATCCCAACTTCCTACCTACACTCACCTTTATTGGCTCCATCCCTGCCTCCTTGACCTGTCCGTCTTCTCTCCACCTATCTGCTCCTCTATCCACCTTCCATCATCGCCTCCCCTTCACTCTATTTATTTCAGAGTCCCCTTCCCTTCCCCCATTTCTGAAGAAGGGTCCAGACCCGAAACGTCAGCTTTCCTGCTCCCCTGATGCTGCCTGGCCTGCTGTGTTCATCCAGCGCTACACCTTATTATCTCAGACTCCAGCATCGGCAGTTCCTACCATCTCTGAGTGAGATTTAACCACAGTATTTGGACCATTTCTCCAATTTCTATGGAATGTTCACAAAGGATGCAGTAGATGGTCAGGAAAACCCTTGAGAAGATTTCAGCCCATTACATCACCTTTCAGGGGAGTACTGGGATCACAACATACAGAGGACAAAGGTGTTTAGGTACCACATTAATAAAATTTAAATAGCTGACAACATATCCATAAAGACAATTAAAAACTGCAAGATGTGCATACGTATAATGTTTTATCATATATCTCACAAGTGTCTGTATGCACTTTACATAAACTGAACAAGTTTGAAAAGCATTGATCAAAAACAGAAGTTGCTGGAAAAGCTCAGCAGGTCCGGCAGCATCTGTGAAGACAAAATCCGAGTTAACGTTTTCGGTCCGATGATCCTTCCTCAGAACTGGTCACTGGACCTGAAACGTTAACTCTGATTTTGTCTTCACAGATGCTGCCAGACCTGCTGAGCTTTTCCAGCAACTTCTGTTTTTGTTTCTGATTTACAGCTCTGCAGTTCTTTCGGTTTGAAGAGCATTGAAGATTAGTTATAGGTGGCAGTCCTTCACTGCACATGAGCAAATAACATAAATATAAAGTTAATCTGCATTAGGTAGTGCAGATTTTGGCGAAACTAATTATTAAAGTTTTGAAAGAATAGAGCCATAACCACAAATAATAAGTTGGTGGCTGGAACAGGAGGAAATGGACAAGGGGTACTCAGGAACACTTCTTGAATTTGAATTGGAAGCAAGGCACATCTAGGTAGAGTGAACTATGGTCAGGGTGTTACACATCCCCTCATTCTCCCGGTAACTGTCTATGCAAACAGCCTCCCACTCTTCCTTTATTTAAGGCCGAGAAATGTTTGATGCCAACCTGAACCAGCAGAATAGCCAGCAAAGGTCTAGACTTATTTTGTACGTGTGCGACAATCCTTTTGATAACCAAAACTTTGATGCTTTGCTGGAAACGAAGCAACTCTTACCTTAGAGAAATGAAGGTTATAATTTTTACATAGTTACTACCTTGATTATTATTTGGCTGACCATCCTCAGCAGTTGTTTCATCGACATCTAGGGAACAAAGGTATGATATCTCAATTATTAATTTTTACGATCTTTAAAGCAAAAGTTATAATCACAGGATCTGACAAAGGATTTCCAAAGTATAACAGACTTGTGCACAATTAAATACAAGTAATACCGAGATGAAATGTTGCAGTTTTACCCATTGGAAAAATAATATACAACGTTAAAGGGCCAATGTAAAATATAAATATATACCTAGTTCTGCCTTAGATGAGTCAGAGACTCTATGTTCTTACTGAGTGACATTTAGAATGTTGTGTAAAAACAAATAAAAGTTAATATTTCCATCATGGAATAGAAGAAGATTAGCCACAAAATACACCCTCAATCAAACACTAATATTTAAAAGATTGCTTAAACTGTTTACAGTGCTAATCAAGTTAATTCACTGAAGAAACTTCAGAAGTTTTTTTTTGGGAATGAGTTGGCTATTTTGTACAAATCTATTGTGTTTCATTCTATCTCAACATTATCTGATCTGATTTTATGCTTAAATTAGTATACTTATGTTTGAATACGAGAGTGCTAAATTCACCAAATTAAATACTGAAAGCTCTTGATAAGTCTAAATACAGTAAACTCCCCGGAACCAAGAATGACGGCGGGGGTGAGTGGGTGGGGGCGGTGCCAGTTACAGGAAGGTGCCAGTTATGGCTAGGACCACTCCAAAATACCATCAGTGCGGTTTGATCAAAAAGAGAGAAAGAGAGAGAAGGAAGGGCTAAACAATCAGTTGCCAGAGCGAGAAGACCTACTCCTGTCAATTGCCTATTGTACACGAATTTCAGATAATGCAAATTTTACTGTACATCAAAGAAAGGAAACATGTCAGCTTACCAGACTCACTCTTTAATGATTCTGATGAACCTTCTTCATCTGAACCTTTCACAATAAAAAAGGGGAAATTATTAAATATGTGTGCAGCTCCTTTATAGGCCAAAGTCTCAACATTCTGATTAAGATGCCCAGTAAGTGCAAGTGCAGTAGGGTGGCCTCCAAGTCAGCCACTGTCCAAAGGTAAGACCTATACTCAAGTTGTCAGGTGGGATTATTTTCATATTCAAGGCTGGTTGCTCATACATGTAAGTACGTAGCAGCTGAATGGTGCCATTTGGTTCAATGGTGCCAATGCTGTTCCAGCAGTAGATCAATTCCCAGGTAAGGCCCAAAAATAGGAAGGTCAAATACTGAAACCTTGTTCCTTGGGCTCAATTGTCTTAGGATTTAAGAGATCTTTGCATTCTCTTTGAGGTCTCAACTGGACTTAGACCTAAAACCCTTAAACGAAGCAACCTCCGACATTCTGATTTTGAGCCTTAAGGTTTTAGAGGCTGCTAAACATGTGGAAAACCTTATGGTTGGTATCACAAGATGAATAACTCGAAGAGTTAGGATTATGAGGTATCAAATTTTTAAAAAGTGAATAAAAAAATTTTTAAAATTAAGATAAAGCACAAAAGTCAAAACATCCACACAAAGCTTGTACCACTGAATGTTGATTTTGGCCAGTATTTAATGTGAGCAATGAAAGAATAACACTGGTTAGAAAACCACCGTGGGAATCCCCTCTCACTTTTCCCCCAAGTTTCTCAAAGCTACTTCATTCCAATGAGGCAATTATCTGGGCAGCATCAGGCAGCCAACCTGATTAAGCCCCTGGTACACCCACCTCAAGGTCTGCCAGCCAATTAGAGCTCAGCAGTTGTACAGACTGGAATTAATTGAGAACTGTAGTCACTGCCTGTGGTACAGTGGGACCTACAGAAGGTATTGGGAAGGGATGCAGAAATAGAGTTGTGTGTAAGCAGGTTGACAATTGTGGAGGGTGGTGGGGTGAGGTATAATGGGTGTGGTGGGGATGGGAGTGGGGTAGTCAGAAGTAAAATCAGGGAGTGTCACGCAGACCCGTTATAATATCCACCACCCACACCCTGCTACACTGTTGAAAAATTCAGCAGGGGTTGACTAGACAATGTTTCAGTACGGTGTGTCCCTCAATTGTCCCTGTTTGAATATTTCCATGTTGGGTGTGTGGGAAATGATAATGTTCAACTGATAGCAGCAAGACTGTGAAAAATTGAACCTCACTGACCTGACTCTGAATTTTCAACAATGTCTGGATTTTGTTCTGTAAAATAGGAAAACAGCAACAGTAATAGGAGACACAGCAAAAGCAATTATGAGGATACACAAGAGTCCTTATATGTAGGATCCTCAAAATGAAAACAATGAAAGGGTCTATTCATTTATATAAGTAAGTTGCATATAGTCCTTGCTAGCCAAAACAATTGTGGTAAAGTTATGGAAATAAGTCTGTGTAAATACTGTCTAGATTTCCTCAAATCTCTGAAATAAAGTTCTATCTCTTCATATAACACTGCTTTCCACTAAAAGAAATACAAACTTTTTCATCGTCCTTACATGCTGTTTTTCTTGCTCTTTGGGCCTGGAGGAGATTAACACTCACCAGTTCTTTTTCTGTCACATTCACTGTACCAAATACTGATGCGTTGGATTTTGCCAATGGAACAGTGACTCCTCTCTTTCCTCTGCAGAATGCCTGATTGTTCATGTAGAACGCAAAAATAAAGGAGAATATGGCCATCCTGAAGCAGGAAATACTTCAGCCTCAGTACTTAAAGGAGATGAATATTAAACATGTTCCCATTCTCTGGATGGCTATTGAACAAAATACAAAACGTGCTCATTTACACTGGTACACATCGGCACGGTGTGCCAGCTCTCATTCATTTCGGTAGTACCACTCTGCAATGCCTGCACACACTCCCAAAATGTCTGCAACTATAAAAGCTTGGGAAAGAAGACCAAAAAGATGGACTGCTTGTGATCAAGAATATTGTCCAGAATGAGGATGCCTTGATACTAAAGGAGGAAATGCCCTGATCTTATTTTAAGAGAACCAACAGAGAAATAATTTGCACAGAAAACATGACCTGTATTTAATATTCCCACAGTGACATGTTTTCTAGATTTTAATACTTTGTAGTCCTGTCAGGTCACGTGCAAAACACATAACAGCCACAGGTGTGTCTAAAAAGCCAGAAATATCAGTGAAGCCATGCACGTACCTTTTAAGTCAATTATTGGAGTTCTGTCTTTGCTGTAAGAAAATTAAAGACCAGTTACAGGTCAGCTGTGGTCCTTACATCTGAAGTTTTGTGTCAACATTTAAATTATCTCCATTATCTTTAAGAGATAGTGCAACAGGATAACTTTTATAACTGATGTAATGCTAAAAAGAAACTAAAACCACTGCAAATACAACACTGCATATGACATTTGTGTTTTCTACTGCCACAAACAAAAAATTGTAAAATCTCAATCATTCAGACATTCAAAATAAAGGTTTATGTGGAACTGCAAGGTTACTGCAAGGCCCTGATTTTAACTCCCCTACAATCCATCACCCGGCTCAGTGGTTAGCAGCTGCTGCATCATAATGCCAGGGACCTCGGTTCGATTCCAACCTCGGGCGACTGTCTCTGTGGAATTTGCACATCCTCCCAGGTGCTGTGGTTTCCTCTCACAGTCCAATGATGTGCTGGTTAAGATGGATTGGCCATGCTAAACTGCTCATTGTGCCCAGGGATGTTTAGGCTAGGTGGTTTAGCCATGGGAAGTGCAGGGTTATGGGGATAGGGTGGGGAGGGTTCTGGGTGCAATGCTCTTCGGCAGGTAGGTGTAGATGGGCCGAATGGCCTGTTTCCACAGTGTAGGCATTCTACAATTCTAAAACCTGGGCTCCTGTAATATCAACAACCATCATTGATACCTTGACATCCTGTCATCTTCCCTGAGTTGCTGCTGCAGGAGATATATTTTCAACCAATCATATATTTGTTATGACACAAGAGATTGCATTGTTGTTTTCTAGCCCCACCGCTCCACTGGCCACAACCAATAAAGTTAAATACTTTATCTTCAACTAAATACTTTCTCCAGATTGAGATTAGAATAAGAAAATCCATTAACTAGCTTTCTTTAGTAAACAACATAAGTGCTTTTTTTGCAAAAACAGGTCTTATTCAGAAAAGATGTAAAGCTGATTAACGCACAATTTACATTAGGAATATCAATATTGACCCCTCTAAATAATGCACCAAACACATACATCAAATTAAAGAATATAAAAGAACTTTCTCTGCAGAGATTAATTTTGAAAGGTAAAAATACTTTGAACAATAATTGTTACTTCTTAGAAGAAATAAAAGGATACGGTATGAAATGTTCAAGATGGTTTTTATTCAGCATCCTGGTATATGTAATGAGTGCCATCAAACATAGGAAAATGTAGTTAAGACTTTTAAATTAGGTTTATTCAAGAATTTTCAAAATTGTCAAAATTCAGTCTTTTCAAGAGAACAGCTGCAGCAGTTTTTCAAGTATCACACTACACTCTCCAAAATGGTTTTCTCAGAATGGCAGAGGGTGAATTGTGTAGACCCTCCATCTTAGCAGCTGTACCACAAATGAACTCCAAACAATATCAAAAACAAAACCACACACCCAGTCACGTGATTTCCATAAACAAGTCAAAGTAGTTAGTTTAGCTTTGTGATTTCCATGAAGTGGTTTTAAAAAATAAGTTTTCAATACCCTTTTACTAACCCCTGTTAAAATCGGTTCAGATATCTAAATGAATCAACTATCCACAACAATTTACTATACAATCTCAAAAATGTAGTATTAATGAAGCTTCTTCATAACAATGTGACTAATCTGTGACTCCAAACAGGTAGAAAAGAAAACAATTCAGCACATAGAATGAAACAGCAAAGCTGACACACAGCAAAAATAACACTTCCACCTTAAGGAGATACTGGAGCCTGAAAACATGGAGCAGCAATTTATATCTATAAAAATTAAAAAAAAAGCAGGTAATAATTATTTATACATCATGTATTATAACAAGAAACTGACTTTGACTTTATTTCATGAAATAACTAAAGTCAGTCTGCAACTGGACCAGAAGGAGAATGTCATTCCTTGAAACAAGAAGGTAACTGTGATTTTGTATTGCTATCAGTTAAACAAGCACAAACTAAAATAGATCCAGTGCTGTAAATGTACCTTAGTTATTTAATAAAGATACTTTTAAATGGAGTAATTACACATTAACTAAGTGGTAACTAAGTGCTTTGCTAACAAGGGCCTAGAAATTCAGCCATGTAGAACCCTTTTCTCAGGCACTAACTGGATTGCCAAACTCCTAATATAGTAGGCAGGAAGCACATTAATACTTCTAGCTGGAAATATGCCATCTGCCTTACTGGGTAACTGGATCTGGTCATTGCAGGACTTGTGTCAGGAACATTGAAAAGACAGAATAATTTAATAAAATTAAGGTGCTGTATGTGCTACCAGACCTGTTTTTGATTACCCAGCATATAATTGTCAGATAATGAACGTCTAAATACATGGCACAACATACACAAACCGGCCCATATTTAACCAAAGCCCTCCAATCTACCATTCTATGCCAACTTCCACCATCCACCATTTTCTTCCATTTAATCTCTGGTACCACCCAGCCAAGTTAGCCAACTGTCCTGGCCCAGTGACTGACCAGCCTTCTATTACCTGAGGTATCACAGTAGCCTAACTTTAAATTATAGTTTCCCAGCAATACATTACAGTAATACAGGCAGTTCCATGGAAAGGCAAATCAACACCCAATATTGGGGGAGCCTCAGGCATGACTGTCAGGTGTAGGCATTGTATTCTATAGCTCCTGCACTTCAAAAAATGGAAATACACATATTTCTAAGCTACTTTTTGTAGACTGAAACATAGAAGCATCAGCAACTCAAACATTACACAATACTTTTTTGTACTGCCACAAACAAAAAAGGGCACACAATACATGTGTTCCAAAGAGTCATGGGACTCAAAATATTAACTCTGCTTCTCTCCACAGATGCTGCCAGATCTAGTGTTCTCCAGCACTTTTTGTTTTCATTACACAAAACATTATAGTCACAGGTCTGACAATTTGTCTTAAAATATCCCTGGACTCATCTAGTTCTGTTGGCTGGACAGCTAGCTTCTGATGCAGAGTGATGCCTAAAGTGTGGGCTCAATTCTTGAGCTGGTTGTAGGTCAGCATGAATGTCCTGCCTTCTCAACCTCACCCCTTTTCTGAGGCACGATGACCCTCAAGTTAATCTCAACACCAGTTGCCTCTCTCTAACAAGAGAGCAGCTCTGTGGTCCTCTGGGAATATGGTGACTTAACCTTTATGTTTATGTCATCGAAGGTTATGTAACATAATAATCCAAAGCTACAGTTAAATTGCACAAAGACAAATGCAGTTTAGTGTGCAAATGTGTTAGTGACAAGGTGGGTGGGAGAATATAATGCAGAAGGTAACTCTCTGCTTCTCAAAACTATTTCAGCACATAAGCCTCTTGCGTTCTAGTTATTTACATATGCCAATCTAAGAAGCAGTTAAGTACCTTTTCAGTAGTCTTTAATCTCGGCCCAGTGAAAATGATGGTCCCCATGGCAAGATGATGGATTCAGATTATAGTAATATTATTTTTGGGGATAAAACGCAGGGAATGTCGTAAATTGATATCAACTCACTTTCAGTGAGGTTAATAAATTTACTTCCATTGATTTCAATCCTAAATAATGCCAATGTAGAGATTAGCCTTGAACTCTGGCCTGATTATGTTGCTGTGTTCAGTTAGGTACTAGACGGCTGAGACTGGATGACTTTTCTGGAAATGTTGACTCCATTAGCACATCTGTAAACATAGCAGATGGTAAATAGAGCCTGTTATTCCAAACTTACACATAAAGGAGATACATATATTCCTCAAACTACTTTCATATATTCCACAATGAACAGTATCAGATCAGTCGTCACTGCTAAGATCTACCAGTTATAATTTTGTTGGATTAATTTTGAATTTGGCTCTTCAAACCATGGATTGAGGATAACCGAAGCCCAGATCTGGAATGGATTATTGAACCAGGGCTTGTGAGTGTAAGTGTGACTTGAGGAGAAAGGGATTTACTAAGGGAAAAAAATTGATGTTATAACCATTGGATCTGGCTGGCTTCAATTTTGAATTAATAAAATATGGCACATAATATTTCCACAGTAAAATGCAGGAGGTAAACAGTTTGGTGCAGAAATGATACGGCATTGTTGTTCAGATAAGCTGAATATTTCTCGCCAATGCAGTAACAGGAAGTTAGTGGGAAATGTTATAATCACACAACCATTCTGCTTGACCCAGATAGACTTGTAGCTGCCTCTCCATTGATGTTCCCCACTGCCCACACACACAATGGTAACTGCCTTCCTCACTATTCTGCTGGCCACATTCCTCACTGTTCCCGTCACTGTCCAGTGTGCCATTTAACTCAGAGAGTGAGGCAGTGGGTGTGGGACTGAAGGCTCTTTCTGATCGCTCCTCTGGGTCAAGTGTTCTAATTAATTTTGGAGCATCGGGCTGCTATGTGAAATAAGCTTTAACTCTGAAGCCTTTACACAGTTGCTGGTAGTGACATCACAAGTATTGCAACTTCATGGGTTGTGACAGCAGTTGTGGCAAGAAATGCAGCCAAAATATTAACAAAATTCTCCAACTGGAGATTTCTATGAGAACCTTTTATGGACTTTGAGGCACCAAACACTCAGGCACATTTTGCATCTGCTTGTCTTGTTAAGAAAAACCAAGGTGCTGTTTAAAAGAAGGGCAGAAGGCTCACTCCCAGTATCCTGGTCAATATTTCTCACACAGTCAACATCACAAAACGAGATGATGCAGTCATTAGCACAATGCCTTTTTGGGATCTTGTTTCCAATAGTACAACAGTAATTACACTTCAAAAGTATATTATTGGCTCTAAAATGCTTCAGGCCATGTGTGCTCATGAAAAGTGCTGTCAGAATGCAAAGTTTTCTCTAAAGATTCACAGATTACTGGCTGGTCAACAAGTTTGGTGAGTTTCCCGGAGATTAATCACAATCAGACTTCTGCATTCCGATCTACCCATGCACCTTATAAAACAATTCAAGTTCAGATGATCCACTTGCATAGCTTTCTCACTTGGGGTGTATTCAGAAAAAGGACAAAGGGGCTATAT